TTTGGTTTGGTTTGGTTTTTGGTTTGGTTTGGTTTTTGGTTTGGTTTGGTTTTTGGTTTGGTTTGGTTTTTGGAGACAAAGTTTCTCTGTGTAGCCCTGACTCTCTTGGAACTCACTCTGTAGACCACACTGGTCTAGAACTCAGATTCACCTGTCTCTGCTTCCTAAGTGCTGGGATTAAAGATGTGCACCACCACCGATTGGTCAAAAGGTTTTTAGTCAATTATCTGGGGGACATGGACGCTGTAACCTGGGCTAGCCTCAGGTCCTGTGTCCTCCTGTCTCCTCTGCCCACGCACTCTGAGTGTAGCTATATGGCATCACATCCAGCAGTAGCTTTATATCCATAAACAATCCTCACCCTTTCTTTCACCACAATTGCTGGTAGAACATATAAAATAGGTATAGATGCTGCGTTCTGTCCTATGGATACTGATTTCATGGATACAAAAAGGGTCCAAACTTTTATATTTCTTTAAAACAGGTAAATGGCTTTGAAAAGCAGCAAAGGTGGAGAACCACTGTGTAAAGTTACTTGCCACAGACTGCTTTTCTGCACAGGGGTGAAGGCTGCTAGTCCACAGGGTGACTCCTGGGAAATCTTGGCTAGTGGAACCTTCTAGAGCTAGCAGGAGGATGAGTGACAGCTTCGTCATATCCTACAGATTCTTGAAAAGCTGTGGACACAGAGGACATACGCACTGTGACAAGGATGCACTTAAGCATCAATTACCATTTTCCAGAGCTTCAGGATCTGGTACCTCGCTTTTATCAGTTTGGTGTTGAGAGGAAATAGCTGCAAACTCAATGTTGCCGATATTCAAAATCCCAGCCAGAATTCTGTACACAGAGTGTACCTCCTGAAAAGGACATTGAGAGCCATGCTCAGAGCTCATTACCACTTAAACTGACAAATCACTCACCCTTGAGTTGAAAGTACAGTAGTTGTCCATCAATCTCTCTTCTCTCTCTCTTTCTCTCTCTCTCTCTCTCTCTCTCTCTCTGATCACATACTTTTCCCATTCTTCCTGAAGTTACAGGCGGTGATGTTAACCAGACAAGTGAAACAATATGTGCCTCCTGGGGATGTGAGCACACTTGCTCTGTGCTTCCTTTCTCACTACTGCTGGCTAGAACTCCCAGCAACCTGGCCTCAGCCATATCTTTAGAGCAGCAAAAGACCATGCGGAATGGAGCTGTTCTGCCACCTGCCATGGTGACCAAGAGGGAAACGACCTTCTTTGTCCTTTAACTCACTCCTTAGCTACTGTAATTAACCCCAGCTCCCAAACAGGCCTTTCTTCAGAACAAAAGATCAGATGTTCTCTCACCTCTTTTGGGAATAGCTTTTTATAAAAGATCTCAGAGGGCATTCATTGACGGCTTGTTAGGATATCTCAGAGTTACATGTTGGAATTACACTTGAAGTAAGCACATAGTTTGAAAAACTGACTAGAAATAAACCATAATATTATGATGTCAGAAGAAAGAAATAAGTATTTGTCCCTAACTCCTAGCACAGGAGTTTCTAAAATTGTCAGTGTAAACAGACCTTTGTTGTGGCAACAAGTGCCTTTCAACCATGCCTGTGTTTATGTTAATAAGTGAAGTTGGTCAATTTCTAAATAAGATTCGAATAGAGAAACTGGTTGCTCAAGGGGGCACCAGTCTTAGAACACTTAGTTCCTGATATCAACAAACTCTGGGGAAAATTAGGACTCCAGACTCAGTTAATCACCAATGACCAATAATTAATCAGTCGTGTGTGTGTGTGTGTGTGTGTGTGTGTGCGTGTGTGTAACTCCACAAAAACCCTAAACAGCTTCCAAATAAGTGAATCCATGGGGTTACTAACAGGGTGGCATGTCCAGAGGACTAGAGCCCCTTATTATTTATTGCCCATTCATTTTTCATTTAGCTGGCCCTGGGTTGTAACCTTTACAATAAGTCTGCAGCCCTAAGGAAAATGTTTTCCTGAATTCTGTGACCTGGCATGCCAACTAGTCAAGCTATAGAATGAGGTCCTGGTAACTTTAGAATTAGTTGGAAGTGTAAGAAGCCTGGGGCTTCCAATTAGTGTCTGAAGTGGGGGCAGCGGTGTTGTGGGACTGAGCCCTCAACTTGGAGCATCTGATACTAATGCTACGTAAACAGATTTCATAGAATTGTAGGTCACTGATTGATAGAGGATTTTAGAAAAAAATAATCTCACATATTTGGTGGCATAAATTTGAGTAAAACTCATTCAGAATATCTAAGCCCTGTTTTCATGTTCAAAGTTGAACATCTAAGTAGCATTAGTGGATTAAACATAATAAATTCATATACATTTTACATTTTCTCTATGTGAAACAATAAAACATCTGGTCAGAAATTTTCTGAATTTTATGCTAATAAACAAAACTCCTTCCATAAAACACATTCAAACGGGTTATTTGATTTAATACTCTACACAGCAGCCAAGTAATAGAAACTGTCACTAGACCATTGATAAAATACTGCCCCCTAAACAGAGCCTCCCTGTAGACATTACTCAGTAAAGCCTAAAACCCCCGAGCGCAGGCTGTAACACTGACATCTACTGGATGCCTGATAAAGGTACAAAGACAAATGAGAATTCTAAGCCCGGCTTCTGCCAGAGATAAGTACTGTTCTTCCAACTTCTAAATCAAGGGCAAGATGTCATGTTTCAGACTTCAAGAATCACTATTTAATCACACGACTTAAAAGTGACTAAGAAGAACACCTACCAAATGGGGTTTTTTTTAGAACTTGCCTGGATTTAACATGACAGCCCCTCATTATCGTGATCAATACAGGGTAAGTCCTGCTGCATGCATCAAGCGACTCCCTACGGAGGTAGATCTGAGAGTTTGCAGCCAAGGCTATAGCAGCGAGTTCCACATCTGCCTGTGTCTGTATCCAGCCTCCTTAAGGGGTTATCTGAAATTCTCCTCACTCTGAAGGAAAAGTATTGTTCATCTAACGAATGCATACAGTCCCTACCACATAAGCCATGACTTCTCCCCAAAACAGGCTTCAAGCACTTTAGGGATAGGACAGTGAGCTATAAAGAAAATGGCACCTGAGAGAACGTGCTCTCGAGATGAGCAACTTGCCACGTTGCTTCTCTGGCCACATTCTCTTAATGCTATGCTCAGGGAATCAACAAAGGCGCAAACCTACCTCTGACCTTCAGTGAAAGCATTTAGAATCAAACACTGTGAGGATTGCTAGTGCCTCTTTCCTTGGGTCTCCTTCCTAAGGTTCAGTGAAGAAAGCAGGGACCCAGCATCCAGTTCATCCTCTTTTAAAAGGATTTAGCCTCAGTATGCTCCCCAAGAGACATCTCTGGGATTTCCTACCACTCTGTTAGCAGTGTCTCTGGGATTTCCTACCATGCCTGTTAGCCCAGCTTGGGAGTTCATTACTTATTCTTTTCAGACCTAGGAACCTCCAACTACCACAGAGGTCGGTTCAAGACACCACCCATATCCAGCTATGCTAGAGCTCCCAGTGCTGTGTCTATCATGAATGGCTCCACCTTCCCCGAAACTTCTTGATCACATGGGAAATCTTTATCACTTGTTTTTCCTTGCCTCATCACAGTCTATTCTGAAATATTAGCCTTTCCTGTGGAGAATATTTATTTCTAGTTTCCAATCTTCTAAATGATACAGTGCAAAAACCTTACTCAGAATGAGAGTTTATCAAGAACACTTGTTAGCCCTCTAATCAGGTCTATACCGCTAGCCATCGACAGTGGGGGAGGGGAGAGAACATCTCCATCCAAGCCTTCTTTTCTCAGACATCTAGGCAAGTGTTGCCTGGATGGTATTGAGGCCAAGTTCACAGTTAAGGAGTACTTAGTGCTGATCTGCTGAAACCATTCTGGCCTGGCTCCCAGGCACCTCAGGCCACTGTCTGTCTTGCACCTCCCTAGACATTTACTTCATCTCCTTCTTTTCTCAAAATCTCTAATTTTTCGCCGGTTCTGCCTTAAGCACCATATCAGGGTCAGCTGAGGATTATGTCTTCCTTACCTCCTTGGCGGAGGCTCGTGACATTTACAGCCTTAAAAGTCAGTGCATCCCGTCCTCAAGACTTTCCCTTAACATCTAACTCTTTGGAATCTCTCCTTACTTACAAATCTTACTTTGATTTGTGATATATTTTGAAGAAAGAAAGAAAGTTTTCCCTGAACACTAAGGCCCTGAACTCTGACCACTGTGTCCAAGGATCTATGTACACGCCCACTCTCTATCATCATACGTAGCAGCTGGGTTTTCATGAGGTCTTAAATAATTACAACTCAACTTACATAGAATGTTAGAATAATGTGTTTACCAGCAGAGCCAGCAACATTTAATATTAGACAGAAACAGTGTGGTTTGGCTGAAGACATAGAAATGAAAGAGGAGTGATCTTCTCAGTTGGTTTAAGGTCCGTTCCCCAAGTCTCTTTGCTCATGGTTACTGGCAGGCTCCTTCCACCACAGAAGTTTTCTCATGGGGCCGCCATGGTGAGGTGTTCCTTTGGATGCTTTTAGCTTGTGTCCTGGAATTAAAATTCATCTTCCAATGTCCTCACTAAGATTTGCATGCCATAATTTTGTTGTACAGTGTTGTGGGGGAAGGGAGGGCAAGCAAACACTTGAGAAGTCCCCGCAGGGAACTTAGGAACCTTCTAAGAAAGGACTGGGAATATAATTTTAATTGAATTGGCTAGTTCCTTTAAGCTCTATTGAGAAATGACAGGCAGGAAATCGTTAGAGAAATCGTGTCCCGTCAGCTATTTGGCATCTGCTGCTTGACTCTATTCAACCGAGCCTTCCTGAATTTAGTCATGCTACTGTGACTGTATAAACATGACGTGAAGTGAGATAATCCAGCAGAACAGGTTGTCCGCAAAGATATATCATAGATTTTAGGGTCAGAGAGATAAAGTCCATCTCCCCCCTGGCATCTCTGACGCTACTAATTAACTTAGGCTGGTTATTCCCAGATGAATTAATGTAGGACACAGGGAAGATACACACGGTGATGCAAGGTCACATCCCTGCTATACACTAGAGAGATACAGTGACACAAGGTCACCTTCCTGTTATATACCAGAGAGATACACGCATGAACAAACTGCCACATTCCTGTTATAAACTGGGAAGGTATGCACAATAGCATAGCATCATACACCTGTTACATGCTGGGGAGATACACACAGGGGTATACAAATGATGACATCATACCATATTCATACATGGTTGAGACACAGCAACAGGCCATTATACTCCCGTTGTTTGTTGACCAGACACAAGTTAAGACTCTTTCTCATTTCTTTTCATACCCATTTACACTGACATTCTTTTCTCCTACTGTACCTAGCACCCTGTGACATATACTGAACGAAAAGCTTAACTGTTTTATTATCTGCAGCTGTGCTGGCTAGTTTTTACATCAACCCAACACAGACTAGAGTCATTTCAGAAGAGAGAACCTCAGCTGAGAAAATACAGCCACTAGACTGGTCTGTGGCCAAGCCAACGGTATGTTTTCTGGAAGAGCTCAGTTCACCATGGGCAATATTATCCATGCGTTGGTGGTCCTGGGTGTTATAAGAAAGCAGGCTGAGCAAGCCATGAGGAACAAGCCGGTAGGTATCTTCTATGGCCTCTGCATCAGTTCCTGCCTCCAGATTCCTACCCTGAGTTCCCTAGACAAGCTTTAAATTTAAATAAACCCTTCTCTCCCCAAGTTGCTTTCAGTTATGGTATTTTACACTATACAGCAATAGAAACCCTAACAAAGACAGAAGTCTGTTTCTATCAGAGTAATATCATTGTGTGTTCTCCTCCAAAGCCAGGGCCAATCATATGATACCATTCTATCGCCATCTTTTATTCACTGAAAGCAAACTATCATCTCCCCTAAAGGCTGCCTTCATCATGGATCCTATCCTCTTTTAAAGACATATGTCCCACACTTGGCATGACCTCGACTATGGAGTCTCTTAAACAGCGTCATGTCCACCTCTTCTACCAACTCTTCTGATGATGATGTGTACTTGACAAAAATGCGTTCCATAAAAATCCTCTAACCATGCAGGAACCTGTTAAACCACCCTCAAAGGAGCTGAGAATAATATATTTCTATTTTTATTTCAACTTTTGGGATCCCCCCGTCCATTTATGGTATATGAGAAGCCAACAACAAGGAAATGAACAGCCAGCTAGAAAAAAAGGGGGGGAAGATATTATTAGGACTAAAATCAACTCTGCGAGGGTGGAAAGGATCAGCCAGACTCATTGGATTACAGACGCAGTCTTCATCCAGAGTGTTTGTCCTATGGTAAACAGAGTATTTTGTAATCTAATCCCCTAAGATGTAACACTCTAACCTTTCTCCTGGTCACCCACCCTCTTTGCCAGCAAAGAGAAAGAACCTGTATGCTCTTACAAAACGGAATGGCATAAAGCCCAGAAACTACGAAATAATGTAGCATGGAACAATATCTGATCCTAGAGTTATAAACACCATGTGTCAATCTCAGCATATATTTAATAGGGCAATCTTATATGTAGTAAGACGAGCTTTGTATTATGTGCACAGCCGTAGTTAACAATGCACAAATGTACCAGGGAGAAAGTGGCTGCGGGGATGGTGGGAGATTTTAATTAATTCGTCATATGCACAAGGAGCTACTTGTAAAAATATGGTCTAGAGCTTAGGCAAAACCTATAGACTCCTGTAACTCTCTTTTCAGAAGTGATGTCAGCTCAAAATAGGCCAGTATTCTTTTAGCATCTGTTATTATAACGAATGTGAGTTTATGATAATGGTAATAATTGCTAGGTGCTTGGTCCTATCAATAATTTCTAGGTGCTTGGCCAATAAGATAGTCATGCTTCTTATGATTCATGTTCATTTGAGCATCTTGTTCCAATTCAGATTCTTTTTTTTTAACTCTTCTTCTCCCCTTCCCTTCTCCCCCTCACTCCAGCCCAAAAGTTTATCATCACCATCACCATCATCACCATCATCATCAGTAGTAGTAGTAGTAAGTATACTGTAGCTGTCTTCAGACACCCCACAAGAGAGCATCAGATCTTATTATAAATGGTTGTGAGCCACCATGTGGTTGCTGGGATTTGAACTCATGACCTCCAGAAGAACAGTCAGTGCTCTTAACCGCTGAGCCATCTCACAAGTCCCCAATTCAGATTCTGATTCAGTAATCCTTGAACGGACCAGGAGTCTGTATTGCAAACAAGTTCTCAGAGAATAACAAAGTTTTGGAAGCTTAGACCACATGTCAAGTAGACATACCTTATCTCCAGCTGACAACCATTTGAAAAGTGTCCTGCAAGCTAGAACACACACACAGAGAGAGAGATACACACACACACAGATACACACACACACACACACATACACACGCCTTCTCTCACATTCATCTATGGTCATCCACACTGAGTTTGTTTCTCTGCCATCCAGCATGTACCTTGTCAGTGAATCCAATAATCCTGAAGCAGTGCTGAATCGCTTCAAACTGTCTCCGGTAAGCTTCTTTGGAAGTGATGTCCTGCATGACTCTTTCAGTTTCGGCAGCTATATATCTGAATAAAGCAGACCATGATCCAACACAGGAAGCACTCACTTAGCAAACAGCACTATAGACAGGGCAGGGGACACCTGGGTTTCTTCCCTTCACAGCCTAGTACTGTGGTGGAGAAAAACAAATGACTGGAGTTGAGCTTTTAATCACTCTAAAAAAAATTGCAAGGACTGAGATGTGGTTCTTGCCCACTCCTCTTGCATAACTTTACAGAACAAGTCTTCAGGCAAGGACATAGCTCCATTTACTCCTAGGTTTGCCAGCTGCTTAACTGAACACTCACTCAAACTTAACCAGCAACCTCCTTTCCACCAGCAGCAAGGGATCTTGCAAGAAAACTTACCTAGGAGGCTTTTCATCAGGAAGTCTGAATTCAGCAAGTTTCCTTTGGTGATAAAGACCAGCATAAATATAGTAAAATATATGAAAATTTTTCTCTCCCCTGAAAAAAAATATTGAGGAAGAAGCTTTATTTGTAGGATTTATAGCAGGCTTTCCAGACCTAAATAATTGATTCCATTTCCTTTCTGTACAAGATATTATTTCACAACAAATTTACATAAGCAGGCAATTAAATACGTTTCATCCCAATGACAAAATATTAATCGTCACAACAGCACTTTACCAAACACATGTATCTTCACTATAAACTGAAGAACGTTCTAGAACTAATTCAGGTAGCAGCTCAGTTGCATTCAACAATCTTTCCATGAAGCTCCGGGTCTTGTGCATCTATGTCACACACACACACACACACACACACACACACAGAGAGAGAGACACACACACAC